AGCAAGCATGACCTGCAGCAGCACCAGCAAGCATGACCTGCAGTGTCCTACCTTGTCCTTCCAGTTGAGCTAGTTCTTCTGCTTCCTTCTCTAGTCGCACTCTCAACTCATCTACCTCCATCACACACTGCAATGCTGTCTTGTCTGATGCTGCCATCTCTCGCTTCAAATGAAAGATGTCAATGTGGTCAGGAATGGGTACTTCCCGATTTCCCAGAGATGATAAGAAAGAGGATTTTCCTGAAAGACAAACAGAAAATAATTTTTATTCACCCAAGATTCCACAGTATCGTTTTGACTTGAAATCCTCCATGAACAAGAATGTGATAAAATTCAACAGCACAAGTACAATCATCACAGAACAGTAAAAAATTTCTTTGGTTTAATAAATTTATGACACGTACTACATTTCCCAAAAATAAAGGCACATGTCAACAATGTCCATGAAATTGTTATCTCTTTTGACTCACCAACCACAGTGCAAGGTTACACAGTTTCACCCTTTCTTTCCATTTTTCAAGATAACAAAACTAAGAAGTTTTGGGACACATCTTACAAACAGGATAAACTACGCTTGTGTAGCTGGGTACGTACCACAACCATTCAGGCCAATGAGTCCATACCGCCTCCCACAGGTTAGCTCCACCCTGGTATCCTGAAACAATTCTACACCATGAAATGTCAGCGAGTAGTTATCAATCTTCAAGTCGCGGCTACTTGGATGGGAGGACAGGACACCGGTACAGGCCCGCGCATCTGAGGCTAGATCTAACAAGTCTAACTCATCAATGATGCCATTCACATCATTTGAAGCTGTTAGCATGTAGGGAAAAATGAAAAATGAGACAAAAGAACAACACAATGGCACTTAATGAAGTGTAAACATGTCATCAAATACAGTAGTTGATACACTAGTCTACATTTCAGCAACAAAGAACATTTCACTCATTCCACACAATATGGTGTGCATACTTAACTGTACTTCAAATGACACTCCGACTGCTGAACTCAAGATTTGTTTATCTGAGCAAATTCAACTAGAGCACTATGAATTTTACACCTCGATGTTTGAAAACAAGAAGTGTAGACATATTATCTCCAAATCATTCAAGTTCCCACAACCTACCTGTGCCGTTGGTGGTCACTTTGCCATTTTCTGCTTTGCCGGTTCCAGCTTTATCAGTCTGTGCACTGCCTCTTCTCTTATTTGGGGGCGCTCTTTTCTTCGGCATGGTATATGTGAGCTACTGTCCGTGATTCTGTCTGATGATTTTGTGGAAAGTCCGTACCTGTAGTAGACGTGTAAGCTTAACATTACAGGTAGCTGATACTTGACTGGTTTGAGTCATGACCCCAATATGCTTTAGCTGGTCCATTGCAACTGACCCTTTGCAGTGGTTTATTGGGGGGGTGCTTAAAAAATTTCCTTTTCATTCTCATCGTGAATTTGCATGAACAAATAGAATTCAGTCTAGGTACAAATTTCTGACTCCCCCCCAAGAAAGTCCTTCTCAGATCAGCAGACACTGATAAAAGTGAAACCCCTGAAATTTAATTGGCACTCTTGGGATTCAAAACAGGAAAAGATAATACTAGACTTTTTGGAGTCTGCAAAAACTGTTCAATTCATAGTTCTGATCCTGGGTACCGTGGTTACATGCCTTCATGGCAGCCTGCCAGGCCTCGACATTAACAGCTGCCCGATTGTGCGGGACAAGTAATTTCCTTTTTTGAGCAAGTAAAAATTAAGGACAAATTGCCCGATGGCCAGGTACTTTTTTCTCGAAATAGAAGTGTCCATTTTTCGTGGCCAAGAATAGCAGTCATTGTATTTTCCTCTTCACAAAGGTTACACAAAGTGATAAAAAGTAAACAGCTATGTGGTGTGCAATGAGTTTTTGCAATGTTACCTACACGTACAAACTTGAAAGCACCCTGTACATTTAGCAGGGCACCTGTCCACATAAGGGAAAATGCGTACACAAATAAACTCTAAAAAATACCGTTGTGTCTGGGTATCAAACCTCATTGGTTATTACACGCATGGTGCAGCGGAGCTTTGTCGTGTTTGTCCGTCCGGCCGGAAGCTCTCTGTGACTCCAACATTTAGTGAATTTTGCCTTGTACTTGTGTGGGTACTTTTTGCAAATACAACACCAGACAAAATTGTTAAGTTAAGAAATAGCTGTTGCCTAAACTTGTATGAAGGATGCATCAGAATCGTGCCTAGGTCTAACATGCCGCGCCTAACCAACATGGCCAATATTGCCATCACTACCGGCACTAGCCCCACTAGTGTGGCACGGACTCTCACTCCCGATCCATCCTTAGCCACACATCCGTACACCCAATTTCGTATCGGGGGATTGAACAATTTGGCGCACCCACTTATCATCATGGGCGCAATTTCTTTTGCACACGAACATGTCTTTTTGCCTTTATCCATTCAATCTAACGGGCTCGCTCTCACAGTCGCTGCTGCTGCCAAAGTTTTGGAAGAGCCCATTGGTACATGTAGTATCTTATCGCTCAGTCCGTGCATTACATGTCTTGACATGGAAAAGCCGTCGAAACGATGAGGGGTCAAGTGACATATTGTTCGACGATCTTATTTTAAAGATGACGACTGTGAGAGCGAGCCCGTTAGATTGAATGGATAAAGGCAAAAAGACTGGAAAATACCCAAATAACATGAGTGAAATCATTCAATAAGTGATTTTTTAGAAAGCGGAAAGGTCAAGAATCATGTTCGTGTGCAAAAGAAATTGCGCCCACGATAAGTGGGTGCCCTGAAAAGTTCAATACGCCAACACAAAATTGCGTAGACGGATGTGTGGCTTAGGATGGATCGGGAGGAGAGTCCATGCCATGTGCCACACTAGTAGTGGGGCTATACCAGCACTAGAATGCTCTGAATGGTTTATTACTGCTTGGTGGTCATACAGTGGTAGGCCAGCACCGAGTTGCCGGCGAATTTGCCCGTGCGTCATCGGTCACTTTACAAAAAATAAAGTATATGTGTTGAGTGAGGCCCTGTCGGCATGTAAGCCTACATCATTCATAACATACGTCTAGGCCCTACATCAAAATGACGAACGGCCTTTTTTGCAACAAAAGGAAACAGAGATGCACTACGAATTTTGACAGAAAAAGTTAATTTAAACGACCAAAAAAGGATTTAAATGTACAGAAATATTCATTGACGTTTTATAAAACTTCACACGGGAATAGAACCATAGATAACACGTACTTACAGACAAAACTTCATTCGAAAAAGTAGCAATGTAGAGCACAAAACGCCGGTCCGCGGTACACACACGTCGCGCCAGGAATGAATGATGTCGCAACAGTCTGGTGACAGAACTTCCTTCGCCTTTTTAATACCGACAGTGTAAAGGAACAGGCGGGTACAAGACAGTACAGCAGCAGGTGGAACGGAAGTGCACGTGGTGACGTTTAAGCACGACGTCATAAGGCTAAATCCGAATGACATGTACAGTACGTGTATTTGGTTTCGGCTGTGGATGCCAGCAGCCTCTGATGTAGTCGACATAGTCGTAGCCAATTTTCGATTGTAGTTAACGGGTTTTTTGTGTTAAGAAAAAAAAACCCGAGTTATTTTTTAATGGCAAGCGCCCTCTATGTCCTTGGAAAAATTGGGCGGAATCATGGAGCTATAGCTCCATGGTTGAATGCACATTGTTTGAATTTTCTTTTATGGATCTTTTGTTGGGGTATTTGATATATATATTCATTTTGGTTTATTTTTAATCTTGTGAGGGCTGGATTTGTAAAGTGAATACTTCCAGTTTCAGTGCCTGTATATTTTGCATGTGGGGTGATGTATACCCCTGAAGCAAAAGCTGGCTGAGAGAACCTGTTTGTCGCATATACCCCCATCCCGCCTTATACCGTCACATAAACAGATCACTTAAATTTACGGCGCACAGATGGTTACACAAGAAATGAAAAAAAAAATGCTTAGTTTGTTTGTATCCGTCTAGAAACTAGTTCGAATTTTTCTCGGCGGAGATTTTACCAAGTATGCAAATGTGTACAATATTGCTTTTCCCCTAATATTGATAGGGTTCTGTATATTGTTGAGTAGTTTTTGTTCCGTCATAATGCATCTTGGTCGTGTAGGCTTCTATGGAAATTGTAATTTCTGCCAGCGCCACTTCGGCCTCCGCCTAAATTAGCTCGTCATACACAATTGGTGAGTCTGTATTATTTTTTTCAACAGCTTCTATTCAAGACGTAGGTCAAAACATTTTCCGAAATGTAGTCATCGATTTTGGGGGCGGGAAGCTCAAAATATAACGAAGCCTGACAACGACTGTCGGCGGGAAAAATACTCGCCAATATCACCATTCAAGGTTGACAAATTATCCTCGCCAGATATGAAATATGAAGGACACTGCTGATACACTCTCCACTAACGCTGTTGCCTAGTAACGACTAGCACGAGACATCGCTTTGCCACGTGAAACTCGCTCTATCATGAGTTGTGTCTAAATGTGGGAAGGAAACAACGCTTCACAAGCTAGCTGATGATGCATGATGTGTGAACACGACCACGCCCATCTATATCACAGGCCTCTTCACTTAAAAACTCGCATTATTGGACAAGAAAGCAATAACTTAGGTCACGAGAAGATAGAAAAATCGTAAGCCATCTAAGGAAAGCTGAGAACCAGGGTTTACATTCTGTGGGCCTGGAAAGAAATCGGCAGGCATTTTAAAACTGTGCTGATTTAGCCCAGAGAATTTCACGAGGAAAACACTCATTAAAACTGTTTGGGGATGCTGTCGACAAATTTATTTGAGTACGTAATTATTAAGGCGTACTCTTTTCAATGATTTACCCCGCGTTTTCTGACTAATCATGAATTTGGCAGTGACATGTTTAAAGGCGACTTCACAGACTTGAAATGAATGAAACTTGTTCAAATTCTCACTTCATAACATTAGTATTTTCTATTGTATTGAATACCACACACAAGGCAGAAAATGTAAAACGACTTATGCAGTTTTGAATACTAACACAATAGCAAGAGACATTGCTTGGCAAAATGAATACTTGAACTGAAATTGAAGTAAAATATGACTACCACATTAACAACATCAACCGTCTCCAATAACTGTATTAGGAACACAAAGGTCTCTATTCATCATGCAGCATGATACATCGACACACATGATATACACTTACGAACCGTACAGCAAAATGCCGCTACTCAGTCGAATGTGTGTAATCATAACCATGACAACAGTTTGGCGGTCGGTTTGTCACATGATCATACATGCATAAATTTCCACAGTGAATGATAGGCCTACTTTCACTGTACGCAGTTTTGCAAAAATAATGTGACGATATTCACAATAGTGGGCACTGTTCCCGATTACTTACACTTAGTCAATAATTAGGATTGTCAAGAAATGCATTCTGCTTCAGGCGAGGTTAATTTTATGTCACCAACACGGCATTCCATCAATTAAAAAAAACACAAAAAAAAACATTGGCAAGGGACTCCTTCTATTTTTGTAATACTATATCAATAATAAAAAAGGTTGATGGCACTGAAAACCCCAGAACAAAGAACCTACCCTACGCTAATTAATTCAGCGATAATTTCTTAAATTTACTTATTCTTGGAGCAAGAATATTGAGAAAAGCATCAGAAATCAATCCCCCAATTATTTGGAGTTCGGTGAATATGGACGGAGTGAAAACACAAATACAATGCTTCCTTTTAAATTGGAAAATGCTTGATGGGATAAAAAGGGGCATGTACTGGTTTTGTCCTTAGGAGTTTAAGTACACACATAAATATCGCTCTTTTCACTACTCGCCCGCTATCATTCGAATGTACCCTCGCCCATCAAATTCTCAACTACAAGCGACGTACCGACCATGTTCGCCTGGCAGTAAAAACTACCCAATTCAAAGTTTACAGATCAAAAATCCATGCTGCTTATAAAATGATAAACTTACCTCATCATGTTAAGCGAGGATGACATTGTGCGGAAAGTGTCCACATTCAAGCATACGAACGCCGTCTTTTTCCACAACAGCAGCGACAAAATTACTACGTCTAAAGCAACATTTACCATTAAGCCATAAAATTATTTACATTTTTCTTCTCATGGCCAGATTTAGTTGTTAGTGAAGTTGTCAACCCATGGATGCTTTATTGGCAAGGAAATATTAAGCGATACTTGATCGCTGGTCACGAACAGGAACACGACCATGGGCGTAAATCCCCGGTATGGGGACATATTCCCCCCCCCCCATTTTGGAGGGGCGGACTGTTGAATCCCCCCCCACACACACACACACACTTTTGTGGTAAGGTGATCGAAAATTTAAAGTTGGTTGTGAAGATTTTTTTCGACTTCCCAGTAAAACGCATTCAGTATCACTCAAAAAAGGAAAAGTAATATTCAAAAAGCCGTAAACATGCCATTCTAAGTACATAATTAAAGGTGTACATCGATATCATGAACATCAAATTTTCAAATGTTCATGGCAGGGCGAGTCATTCAGCCTTACCTTTCCCTATCCCCCCAATTTCCGGCACAAGTTTCTGCTTCTAAACACGACACTGGTTTGATACAATGGGCTTTCTCGAATTTATCGCTGTATAAATTCTTAATAACAGAAAGCTAAAGCAACAACAACCAGTACAGTCAAGGTCAAAAGGGCTACGCTCTGGACCACACCTTTATTGCAGGCATCTCGGTTTTCAACGAAGCAAGGTATTTCTTCTCCTTCCTTACAATGGGCTATTGGACGACCATCCACGCTAGCATCAATGCCGCGGTACAAATCTTTAAAGGCCATGTCTCCTGGTGTAATTACACCAGATTGCTCATCCAAATTTTCCACCGAGTACTGGTCCTGTCCTGTTTGCTTTTGCAGGAACAAGATGTATTTCTTGCCCTTTATGAGATCATTATGGATGCAGTCCCCCGGGTAGGTGTGCTCTGCCACAGTGATGTTGTTCAGGCCTGTGCCTTCTTGGGTCGAATTCTTGTGATCAGCATTACTTGTCTTGTTGCTGCCTGACCCGCGTCCGCCGTCCTCATCCGTTGTCCTGTCGCTGATGCTACCGGACTCGCTACCGCGCTTGAGCCAACACAGCGGCTCCACGACTACCTTGTACTCTTTCTTTGTTGAATTATTGCCCGCTGTTGGCATTTGGTCAGAGATGATAGTACCGTAGACCGTATATTGCGATGCTTTTGCTCTGCCCTCGAGAGACTGAACGACCCTGTCACCAGTCTGGTCACAACTGGCCTGAGAGAGGCCAATCATTACGGTCAACATGGCTGAGAGAAACTGAATAGTCGCCATGGATGATTGGTGTATGATCTACAAGCAAAATAGACGAAGGGTCTTTATCAGAACGGCTATTATACGAATGACCAAGATTGGAATATCGTTGGGAAGGCGGAATCACGGGGGGTAAATCGGATGGGGGGGTAGGAGATCCCCCACTTGGTAAGGTGGGGGGCATATGGGCTATTGAATCATTCCTCCACTTTTGTTGGTGAGCAAAATATTTAATTAAAATTTTTTTTTAGACTTTTATACGTTTCTCACTCAAAAAAAAAGATTAAAGCCATAATATGCCGTTCTGAATGCCTATTACAGATGTACATCAATATCATGAACATCGACTTCTATACCCCCCCCATTCAGGTTTTCATGGCTGGGTAAGTCATCCCATCACCTTTCCCCATCCCCTATTCCCCCATTTCCGGCACAAATTACGCCACTGAGCAGAACCAATGAAATGTTATTTATTCACTTCAAAACTATTAAGGAACATCAAAACTGACAGTAAAGAATACCACATTCAATTGAAACAATTTCGTGCAGAGGAGAATATTGAATATTTAACACAAAACAGCTCATGATGAGCCAGGCTCATCTCAGAGGGGGCAACGGGCAGTTGCGCTCTGTGCCCCCTTTCATACGCGCAGCTGGGCCCAAGTCAGAGGAGGGCAAGAGTTCCCGTGCGAGGGGGCCGGGGTTGCAGTTGTCCCTTGCCTTCCTCCATTGGTTACGGAACTGTGTTCATAAGCCCAGATATTTCAACTTTTTTTTTAGTGTCAATGTCACACCAAAGATACTGTGTATACGATAAAGAAATGCCAAGAGATTTTCTAGTCAAAGGACACAGATGGGTACGTTTGTTCCTAATGCATGGATCTCATCGTAGACAGTCAAATTAAGTAACTTACCGAATTCAACAGAAATTGGATCAACTGGTGTGGTAATACCGCGGTCGGTAATTCACGAACAACGTGTATCTCTGAGCAACCAGCTTCGTCGGAAATACAAGAACCAAATGAACCGCACTGTGTAGGTAGAGATGACACACTAGATACGCCATAGAAATTACAATGACTATTAACGTTGAGAATATTCCCTTCTTGGGTAAGTGACGTCACCTTAGTCAGTGTCGAGGAACTATGTTTCTGATATAGACCGATGCTAAAAGCAACCCTCAAAGTTGTGAATCCAAAAATGTAATACATTGGAAAATTTATCGATAATAATTATTGGGGTATATCTTTTTTCTGAAAATTAATTTGAGAAAAATTTACCATTTCGAGCTTCTTGGTATTTCCCGTGGGGAAACCCCAGGGCCAGAAATTACGTGAAAATAAATAGCGCCATCTAGAGTTCGTCAAACACCACCATCGGAATGTCGATCGACATGGACTGCCACAAACTATTCTTACTTCATAAAAAAAATGGTTAACAATAACAGGCTTACGGATTGATATAACATCACAACTTGATCCGCCCTCTTCCAGTCTGTGTTTAATTTCTCATACGAAATCTGATCTCACGTTTGGATAAGATGATCATTCCTGAAAGAGGTAATTCTATAAAAGTCCATCAATTTCAAAGGTTATGCCTTCGTTACCCGGCAAAGTTAAAGTAGACCACTTCTGGGGTGCCACTTCATCTGTTCCCCAACCCAACCCGATTCTCTTTGGCGTGCTAGAGTAATTTGGATTGGTGGAGGCAGATATGAAAAGGTGCGCTTGGCTTCTTCTTTTTTCAATCAATCGTAAACATAAACTATTCACGAAACGATATTTTTCGAGTTAACAAAAGGCTCAACGTGCAGTCCGTGTAAGTAGTAGTCCAACAGTAACATCGATGTCCGATCTTTGACGTAATGAATAGTGATGAGACTATCAGAACAACAGCTTCGGCCCTGAAACGAAGACGAAAACAACAACACGTGAGACTGATTTTTATCTAGTCGGACGGACGCGTTATGCATAATGATTTCACTTTCAAAAATTATTCAGAGGGTTCTCTGCATTAAAATAAGAAATCACATTGACAGCAATTAAGTTACTTCCATTAATAGAGTAAGTAAAAACATGATTACTCAATGACACAAATCAGGTATCGTATAGTCTTTATCAATCCCTTTAAAATCAATTAAAAGCATTTTGCTTTCTAAACAAGAAACTTGGACTGGATCTTCTTGTTGAATGAAAGCTTCCCCTTCAAAGGTCTTTGAGTCCTTTTAGCTCACCTTTTTCACGCGATATTTTGAAAATTTAAAATACCAATCTGGCTGGCTGTTTTTGAAGAAAGTTTCCACATCAAAGGGCAGAAATCGACTTCGGTTCTTTTCATCCCTAGAATCCCCAGCTAGAACGCCTGAGTTCATCATGCAAAGCCCTAGCGTAACATCCTCCGCAGCCTCTGTCATGCCCTGGTATGCCCCGCAGTCCTTCTTAGCTTTCAGTTGAGCTATCAGCCTTGACAAAGCTTCTTTACTCATGACGTATCCTGCTCCTCCGCTCATATAACCCTGCCGGATGTACGGTCTGAAACGGTGACCATAGTAAACCGGCGCGCTGCTGTTTTTGTCCTGAAGAAACAGTCTGAGGTTCTCCACTATGACGTAGGTGTCGTCATCAGCTTTCATGAACCAATCAGCGTCGTTCAAATGGTGTTTGAAGATGTATCTGAACGAAGACTTGGTTTTGTTCCACAGGGCGGATCTACCTTCGGCCACGTCAAGCCCAATTGCTGGGAAATCCGGGTCAGTCTGTGAGCTCATGTACAATGTAACGTCACACCGTGGACCCCAGGTTTCTTGCACATTAGTAGCTCTAGTGTATAGAGTAGTCGGTGAAGTCATGACCCAACAGAGAATTCTGGCTGGGATCGACGTTTTTGCTGGATATGGCAAGTGATGTGTACCTGTTGGGTTTAGACAACCGTGAAATGTTCCATGATATTCAAATGTCGATAAAATATTCCACTGATATTTTTAAATCATCACTCCACAATGGAAGTTTGCCTCATCATCATTTGGTCAAAATAAAATAATTAAATGAGCAGGACGATTGAGCCTCATAAATAACTTCAGACACTCAGAAACGAAACAAAAAATATACAGAAAAGCATATACGGATGACTTTGAGCATAAATATAACAAACAAAGAAAACAAAGGCAGAGTCAAGAGACGGAAACAAATCGGTTGGTAGTAAGAATTAAATTGAAAACAAACAGAACTATAAGAAATAAGTCTACTACATCTGCGTTGTACCATGAGATCCGACAAAAGTATTGCTGAAATATTTAAAAAAAAAAAGAAAAAAGAACCTTTTGTTGTTCGTGTTCTCCTGATTTTCAAATAGCTTTTCATGATATATATCTTTGCATTACATTTACACACTCGACGTACCGTGATTTGAGTTGTCCGTTGACGCACTTTCCGGACCAAATGCCCGGTTCAAACCCGGCTGAGTGATCCATGATGGCGATTCTTTGGTGGCATGGGAAATAAGTGATCGATGGTTTGCGTCCAAAATTTTGGCTAGCTGTAATTGATAATGATTCTCCTGATGCAAATACGTTGTAAGCATCCGCGTGAAGAAACCACCCGTGGCAAAAGCTACCAATAAAAGAAAAGCGCTCCAAATCGCACGTGCCATTTTTTCTTTTACAGAGAGTGGTCGAAGTAGCCACAGAACTGTCTCGTCCCTACAATCCTGTGTAGACTAAGCAGAGTGGCCTGTTTGCCACCAGAGCCACCCATATCTCTAGGCCTTCGTTACACTGGTTACAGAAGGATGGATTTTTGAGACACATGTGCAGCATTCAACAAACACTGAATAAACAGTTGAAGAAGGAAATCGATACAGTAACAATAAATGGTAGTAACCACACATTGGATCTTTACAATAATTATACCAGCATCAGCTGTTGCATGTTTGAAACAGCAGGAGGGAAGTGAAACATAGTTTAAATTAAAGTAAAGACGAATTGAAATCCAATTTACATGTTGAAATGAAAAGAAATGAATTTTTGTCACTATGTCGTCGCTTTAAGCTCAGAAGCAAGTGCCTTGGTGAAGATGGCGGGATGTTGTCAGCGGTACCATCGCAGTGATTCGTCTCTTCTTCGGGGGATGGGCTATCGAACCCCCCCCACACACAAACGCACATACATTTTTGTGGTAAGCAAAATAATTAGTACAGCGGACTTCCAACAACTAAAATGCATTCATTATCCCTCAAAAAGGGAAACCGACCTATGTATAGACCCTCTACATAGTCATATGGCGTCACCCCCCTCCTCGCTTTTCTAATTTTCATGGTCGGGCAAGTCACCCCCCCTTCCCTATCCCCTCCCCCAATTTCCGGCACAAATTTCCGCCATGCGACAGCGACGGGCATCATGCTCAGCTGGATAGCAGCTGTAATGTGTGGTGCATAGAACATAGCAGGTAATTATGCCTAAGGACAGTGGCATCCCGGAATACGAACCATTCACAGGCAGAAGTTCATCTAGTGCCATCAACATTTGTGATGCTACTGAAATATTTGGATAAGGTTAATGTTGTTACTACTTTCCTAAGGGGGAGGAGTCCCCCATGGACTCCCATAATGTCCACCAGGGCCTGCTGTTTGCATACGATAAGTTACCAGCTGCCAGTGTGCAGAGACGAGGTTTGCATCAAAACGTTGTGAATGTTATAAAGCGCAACTAGGTGCCGATACCCGCAAACAGGTTGTATCTGCGAAGCTCACCAAGAGCGACAAGCTTTATTGACCGCGAGAGAGGATTCCTGGCCGTTAGATGCCCTCACCATGTCGAAGGATAGAAAAGAATTTAGCAAACTGTTAAACACTGAGGTCTATAACCTCGACAAACTAAAACCCTCAAGTGTAACAACAAACTTAAGCCGCTTAACTTATCATCGACACAAAATTTAATTTAATTCATGTTTATGCTCACCAAAAGTTGTAAGCTTGGAGCAGAGCAAGGCTCCCAAAGATGAACTGCATGTGACTTCCATGAACGACGAGTTGATGGACGATTTCCGAAAGAAATAACGCAGGTAAATGGGCAGAAGGAACGTCCATGTCATTACATGGCGGTTGGTGTAAGAATAAACACAGAATCACACGCGAATCTGATGAGATGCGCTGAAAGCCCATCTTTCATTTATACTTGTACATGTAATTGCGTAACAAGAGCACAGCTATAATGGGCAACCCTGACCTGGGGATAATCGTGGCCCCTTTTTTTCAAACAAGCAAGACGGTAGGGACGAGGTTAAACCCGTATAACTCGTGGATACTGGTCGAATCAGTGTGAGTGACAGTAGCTTACATTTTAGAACAATAATATAATGTGATCTTTCTGTAAAAAGGGATGACTCACGAAGCATGTTTCACAAACAGATTTTAAAGAAACATATGATCAGATCAATTTAATTCTGTAGTTATAAAACAAGTAGCAAATTAAACCTGTATTTCTCAATGACATCAATCTCAATAAACGAACGGTTTTGATCTGTGATTAAGTCTATGGTACGGACGTAGCACGTTCTATATACAACTAACTCCAAGCCATGGACGTCGTTCGCAGAACGGAAACTTGGGGAAAAGTTAAACAAGAGACGAAATCATGAGGATGACAATCCCAAATTGTCTGGAAAAACCGCAATTGACCCCTTTCCACTGTTAACAGGTTTATCAGTTCATTGTTGATGAATGTCTTGCCCCGCTAGAAATCCCCCTTCCTTTGAAAAAAGTTCTTTGCCCCCCCACCCCCGGAAGAGTCCTGGCGGCGCTCGTGCTGCAAGCTTACGAGAACATGCCTTAAAGTTAGGGAAGCTAAAAATGCATCTTTGAAAATTTTGTTATACAAATCGAACAAGGCAAATTTACGAGAACGATACAAAAATATATAAAAACGGTATGCTTATTCTTCCTTCAAATCTCACAGTGAGAAGAACATATTCCTGGCTCCAACTTACTAATCACCAAACTCTTCAAATACTCTCCACACGTTCAAATGCTACTGTTAGTAAGTCTAGACAAAGATTTTCTAATCATTAGAGTATTGATCCTTGGGTTGACAACGTTGTCAGAATCACAAGAACAATTTTTCAATTAACCTTTTTTTTTTACTATACAGCAATAACCCTATTTTTAATACGCTGAAAGTAATTCCTACAGTACTCAGTTTCATACATTAGCTTCTGGTGAAAAGGTGGACAGGATTAACTCTTCCAAATTAAACCAGAGATATATATTTTTAAAACTGCACTTGCAGATTTTTGCTAGAAAGCATAGGATTTGAAGGTCTATAGAAAACGAAAATCTACCCACAACTCTACAAAATACTAAACCTTTACTCAATAAATACGCGGGTATGGCAACACTGCACTTGGTCAAACAAGTAAAAATACGCTTTTTACGTCTTATTTCATTTACAATTACAAGTTATGTATTATAGTCCACTTGATCCACTTTTCTTTATTTTTAAGTGACGATCCATGTGTTCTGTGTAGGATTATTGCAGATCAGGGGAAAATACAGCTTGAATGATGAAAGTATCCTAAAACGTAGACCCCTTTTGAACAAAAGTTACTGAAGTAAAACAGCATGTTTGCGTTCCATATTCCCCATCATGTAAAGGGAACTCAGTGGAGGGTACCCAGACGTTGCCTATGAGAAAATGGTTTATTTCTCATCAATTAATACTTCCTCCTGCCAATTATCTTGCGTAGCTCCTTGGGCGTTGGGTGGATGTATCTTCTTTCGTTTGAGGAATCCACACTGCATAATTAAACAATAAAACAGGAGAGAATGAATTGACAAGTACCCTCCTGTGAGCGAAAAGGGAACGTCGAAAAAAATCGTTCTGGATGTGGGCTCTTAGGAGCTCTTCCAAGTCTAAAACGTTTCACTTCTAAATTGAAGGTTGAAATTTACCTTCCACAATCCGAGAACGACAAGGAGCATTATGATACTACTAACGATCGCCACCACAATGTACACCCAAAATGGAATGATGGTAACTTCGGTCGGCCGACGTATAGGTGGCTCTGGAGTTTGACCAATCACTGGAGTCGTTGCCTAGATACATGTAAATCATCAACAAAAACGGGAACTATAGTTACAACTTGTGCGTTGGTAACAGTATGACAGATATGGGCACTACCAAAAGGGCGTTCATTGCAGATGTGATCCGTGTAAGTCGGTCGATGTGTACATGAAAGTTTTGATGAGTATACCTGAGTGACTTGTAACCGAGCTCAAACCTCGACCCAGCAATGAAGAGTCCTGCTATATGAAAGACTTGATCCTACATATTTCAGCTGACTCATCTGATTATAATATTTACTAATACGGGCGATTCACAATAGAGCGCCTCCAAGAGTTTTCCACGCGTTGGCCAATCACAACGAGCGAAATTAGTCGACCCCAATGCGTGTTTCAAAAGGGTTGGCAAATTTCGCGAGTTGTGCAAACTCTTGGAGGCGCACTGTTGTGAATCGCCTGTATTGCGTCATCATAAAGGTTTTAGCCATTGGTCAAGCAAAGAATAAATATTTGTTTTGTGAAGTGTTCATTTACCTGTGCAGTAGCTGTTGGGAATGTATCCGGAAGAAGTGACTCTCTATACGGCATAGTCAACACACTTGCGTTAGCAGTGGATGATATAAAAACTTCAACGTAATCTTTCTGTATGCAAACCAACAAAATGCAGGCAATTTTGGTTATCCTCGGAAAAGTCAATTTCATGCATGGTTCTGGATTACGTCCGGGCGCATAATCACTAAAACTAAAAAATGAGAATTCTGAAAATCTCTTCATCGATAACAGAATCGTACTGAGGCCAGCTGGGCCTAGCGAAATGGGACAACGCCATCAGAGCAGAATAAAACGATTGGAATTTCTGGACACAACAACAAACGACACGTATTATATTTTTTAATTGAGAAACATACCCCTTTGAATGTTTTCTCATAAAGCCTTGATTTGATCCGTATGAGGGCGCTGTCTATATCCTCTCCACCGACGCTGGGGGCCGTTATATTACACGTGATTTGCACACAATGGAGTGATGGGCTTTTGCACTCTATGGGAACCCCAGTTCCAACCTGGGGAAGAGCTGACATGGAGCTGTTGTTAGCCTGCCGTCGTTTGCGCGATTTCTGATCAGAGTTCAAGAGACTAGACGAAGTGGAGTTATCCGTAATGTCCTCGGCTTCCGTAAGCTGAGAAAAAAATGAGGAATTGAACAGCATTGAATTATTTATTTACCTTACAAAGAACATCTTAACATGAGATGAAAAACCGTATCTACTCCTCTCTTTGTTTTCCTAAATATTTGTTTGGTTAAATAATTCATGTTAATCAAAGTGAATGTATATTCTGATTAATTGTTTAAGCAAATTATTACCATACCTCAAGATCTTCAGGGTTAACACCGCCTTGTACATGACAATCCTCTCCTGTTCCGAGTTTTGCACTGATCAGATACAGCAAGTATTCCCCATCAGAAGAAATCAACGGCCAGGAAATCTCTATTTTTGTGTGGCCAACCTCACTAGGACCTTTGTTGCGAAGCTTCGGTTAAAAATATCGAAATACAGGAATCATTTAACGAAATGTGAAGACCAAAGATTTTAAAAACCACGTAATATTAG